CCTGGTGTCAAGTCAGAGTGCGAGGGCCTTTGCTCTTATTCGCTCAGATGGCAGCGTCGTAACTTGGGGCGACCCGCAGTCAGGTGGCAACAGTTCAATGGTGCAAGACCGGCTGCAGGATGTAAAGGACATCCAAACCACAGGGAGAGCTTTTGCAGCAATTCTTGGCTCGGGCCAAGTAGTTTGTTGGGGGCGTGAAGAGTTTGGAGGCGACTGTCGAGAGGTCCAGGCTCAGTTGGTCGATGTCCAGGAGATTTGCGCCTCGGATGGGGCTTTTGCCGCCATTGTAAGAGATGGCCGCATTGCCGCCTGGGGGGATGCGTATTTTGGAGGGGTCTCCACTCCAGCCACACGTAACTTGACAGACGTGCGTAGCATTCGAGCCACCGAGCGAGCCTTTGCTGCGATCAGTGGAAGCGGACGAGTGGAAACATGGGGCCGTGACGATTTGGGGGGTTGCAGCGACACAGTGCGAGAACGGCTCTCTGAGAATGTGCAGCAAGTCGTGAGCTCAACCGGTGCCTTTGCTGCGCTACTTGCAGATGGCCAAGTTGTTTGCTGGGGGCATCCTTACTTTGGCGGGGACAGCAGTTCGGTTGAAGCAGAATTGGTGAACGTGCAGAGTATAGAAGCATCATGCGGTGCCTTCGCGGCCATGTTGGAAAGCGGACGTGTCGTGACTTGGGGAGCACGGTACTATGGCGGCGACAGCAGCAAGGTGCAGGGTCAATTGCAGGATGTACGCAAGCTGCGAGCATCAGGCCGGGCTTTTGCGGCAGTTCGAAATGATGGTCAGATTGTAACTTGGGGTGACAAGTTCTCGGGTGGCGATTGCACCTCTGTACGACAGGATTTGCAAGACATTTTGCAAATACACTCCTCGCTGAAAGCCTTTGCAGCACTACTTGGAAACGGACGCGTCGTCACCTGGGGCGAGGCAAGCTCAGGTGGTGATAGCAGCGCTGTGCAAGAGGAACTTCAGAATGTGCGACACATCCAGGGCTCGCAGAAGGCTTTTGCAGCGATCTGTGAAACTGGGCGCATTGTCTGCTGGGGTGATCCTGAATGTGGAGGCGATTGTAGTCAAGCGCAGGACCAGCTTCAGGATTTGCAGTTCCAGCGTTGTGGGTAAGCAGAGATTCAAAAGTGATGTCGTGCGGCGGACACGAATGAAGTCTTCTTTGTTGTTTGTTGGAAGCTTGCCGCTCACTGCAAAATGGATTACTCGACACAACCATGGGGTGACAAGGTGCAGTCCAGGAACGGAACAGACCCTGGCAGGAAGCAAGAGCCGCAACCTTTTCCGCTTGTCCTTTTGAGTCTTCCATGGCTAAGTGCTGAATGTGAAACCTCCAGCTCCCAAGCATCCTGGCGTTGGCCTTCTTCTTTGGATGCTGCCATTTGACGTATTGATGCTGCAACGACTAACGCGCCGCTTTCAGATTACATGGGATTCTGGCAGTCGTATCTTCTGAAAAGGCCGTGCGCGACGATCATTTTTTTAAGCTTCGCATCGTTGCAAGAATAAGCAGATTGGGGATAGGGTTCGCGATCCTATGAAACCAAGCTACTACCTGCTCCTGACGGTGGACAGGTTGTTCCGCACAATTTCTTGTTTCCGTTGCACTGATTGCCCAGGAGATACGTTGACTAGCTACCAGTATCTACTATCTAGCATCATCTACTGTAGTAGCTAAGGAGGGTGTTTCTAAGCTTCATGTCGTTCCGAAAACAATGATTCCCTGCTACAACCCCTAAATATCGCTGCGTGGGTTCTCCAAAGGCTCAGAAGTCAGAAACCCTTGGGTGAAGAAAGCTGAAGAAAGCCCGTCACTTCAGAACCAAAGTCATCCTTGCTCTTCGATGCAGCTTAGCATTTAGAAGGCAATGCATAGAATCGGACGTTGTGTTTCTTCCAAAGCGTGCTCCAGACAAGACCAGGTGCAGGAAACTGCGCTATCTAAGAAAGAGCTTGGGTGCCGTTAGACTAAGTGCCCAATCGGGAAATTGCTCGTTACAATGCAATTTCCGGGTCGTTGTTCATATCTGATGAAGTTAGCTTTCGACCGCCAAGCATATTGAAGCCCACTGATGCGGACTCATCCGGCTACTAGATGCAAGACTTATCGCGTCGCGAATGAAGGTGACCAACAGCGAAGGACTCCAACCATTGCCTGCCAGACTACGAAAGCATCAAACTGGGGCGTGAGTAAGTCATGTCAGAGTTGCCTTGCAACACGCCATGTTGTCAACGCCAACCATGGCTACACGTACCAGCAGCACTGACTAGGCAGACGGCAAGCGCGCTCGCCTTTTCAACCCATTTGCCGGTGTCAAGTGTCTGACGCACAAGGCCTGCCAGAGAGACACCCTGGCGCGCCATGGTCCCTCGTGAGATCCTTTGATAGTCAAGGAGTCAGTCAGGCACGCGGGAGGCAATCAGCTTGTGAAACCTTTGCCAAGGCCGGGCCCCTAGCGCGGCACTGCTTGCTGCGGGTACCGCCGCTGCCGCACCTGCGTGGGTAGAGCAGAAGGCACGCGGACTGCCATGGTGCAAGTTTTTTCCGCTTCCGCATTAGAGACGGTTTGGCATTTGAACACGTGCGGACGTTCAGCAGGGGACAGCGCGGCCACAAGTTTTACATAATACAAGATGCCTTCAAGGCACTATATAGGACATTGCACGCCTTTATCGTGAGTTACGTTGTCATGCTGATCCATGTTTTCCCTGTTTGGTCTACACCTTAAAGTTGCATTTGCTGATGCCATCTTGTCACGGCCTTGCAGGAGCTGGCGCCGAAGAGACTCCCCTTATCCTGGCAGCCAAAGGAGCCCTCGCTGGCCGCTGTGTAGCAAGGAGCGACAGACCATCTGCGTTAGCGGATCAAGGCAATGCTTTCTTGATATGTGAGCCAAGGCACGAGATAGCCTCCAGCCTGCAGGGATGCTTTAGTCGGTGCTCGACGCATGAAGAACATGCAGCACCGATTTTTTGTTGCAGCTGACGCACGCATGCTTTCACCGTGCCCTGAACTCTGCAAAGCAATCTCGCAGATCAGGGTTTTGTACTGTTGGTGTAACAGGAGCCATGAACAAAAACAGAAGGACTCTTCAGTCCTGCTCAACGGTCTTCTAGCTGAGGCTTCAATGCCATGACGCGAAATCAGAACCTAGACGTCACCGAGGCTGCGCCGTGAGAATTTGGCCTAAACACACTCAACGGCGCATGTTTGCAGGTAATGATGCGCAACGCAATGATGGGTAAGGCGGTCCCGGGCTTAGATGAGGCGTATTCCAGCTGCATGGCAGCATGTCGTACTTGCATTCTGAGATCACCCTTCACAGGCTTTGCATGGTGTCAATGAATGGGCTGAGGCGATGATGGGTCCAGATTGGGACCCGCCTGGTATTGTTTCCAGGAAGATTGCTGAAGTCCTGAGCAAACAAAGATGAGAGAACAAAGTGTTGTTACAACCGTCCGATCACAGGTTTTGCTGCAGAGGTTTGTTTCTGCTATGGTACTTATGCCTGTATCGGACATGTACAGTTTAAGAAGAACACAGCTCCTAGTGCCACGCTTTTTAGGCGAATAGAGCACTGTTTTATGCCTCCAGATTGGCTTTCTGGGATCCTTCTCTGGAAGCTCATGGATTCTCAAAGGGAATCGTAGCTTAAGGGATCAAGCCAAGACATGAGACATGCAAGTTGCCTCGAAAAAGCTTGACCCGATGAATCGGCTGTGCGGAGATGCGATTGCATCACCTGCCATATTCTGGCTATGCTCCTTGCCATTGATGGGTTTGCGCTACTCAACTTCACTCCGTGCATGTCTTGTGGCATGGCCAAATTGACAAGCGGCTTGCGGCTGCTGCTGAAATGCTCCACCCTGTATCAGCATCTTCAGATGTCTGCCGTTTTAGCATGGCGTCCTGTAGAAGTTGTTGCTTGCCGGCTTGGCAGGGAATCCTTTTCCCAGAAGGAGTTGCCTTCCACAGCCACGAAGAGCAGGACTTGTGTTCGCTGCTTCTTCACTAGCACTCTGACCGGTCGCGTAGCATGATGGCTGTATCCCTGCCGCTGTGGTCAGGAAAGATGGGTCGCCAAGTGGTGCAAGGAGCGTGCTGGCATGGACCCCGCCAAACTGCCAATATCTTTTCGATGGTATGAAGCCCGCCACCAAGCACTGCATCAGTTGACTCGTTGACTTGCCTGCTCTGCGAGCTGCATCATGGCACTTTAGATGCTGTTGCCAGAGGGGCGCTGTCAGAGTTTGCAGATGCAACCTGATGCCTCCCAGGCAAACTACGTTGAGGCAGTCAGAAGCATCTTCCCCAGCGGTGACAACTCCGAGGCACCTTGGTTTTGAGACCTCATTTGGCTGAGGTTCAAGGCCGCACCCGAAACGGGTTGCATGCCGCAGCATAATGGGTAAGTGTTGCCCGCTGAGCCAGAGACTCTGTCCAGGTCCTGGCAGATTGCGAGAGGGATGCCAGTCTCCCAGCCCGCGAGCGAACAACAGTTTTCTAAACACACTGCAGGCTGAGTTTGTGCACGGCTTGCCTGGTTGGACTACCTTCTACAGATTCTACTGAGAACGCCGTTGTGGCAGAATGCTTGAATGCAGATTAACTGCTTAGACTGTGAGTGTCAAAACGGCCGTCACTGATCATCCAGGTCCTGGTCCTGGAGGAGCCCGAGCATCTTTGCTGGTATCACAACGGCCCTAGGCGCGCATCTCAACCAGCGCCGCAATGGCTCGCCCACTGAATATGATCACTGGATCCCTACATAGACTTTTCTAGCAGTTTCCATTTTCATTTCCATTATCCCTATGTAGCCCCAATATATGCCCTATTACAACCCCAATATATACCCTGTTATACTATAGTAGTTTCAATTTTCTTTTTATTATCCCTAGGTAATCCCAATATACTATATAGTAGTACACCTGAAGCTTGTATCTGCTCATGTTATGCGCAGCCATTTATTTGCAGGGTGCCATGACTGTAGAAGCAACAGATGCTTCTCGTATTTCGCGAGCTCATCGCGCCATGCCATGGAAACGCGGCCAAACTACCGGCCAGCAGGACTTGAAACACTTTCCCGGCTCACGTGGGTCTGAGTCTAGGTTGTAGTACGAATCCACTGACATTTCATGGCGCGAAAGACAAGGGAGGAAGAGCACCTCAGCAAGTTGTTCCTGCAACCTTGTTTGGCTTCAGCCTTCAATGAGCCACTGCCTGTGGCCAGGACGACCTCAAGTTCAAACTTGGCAAGAGGTTGGGTCATGGCTCGTTTGGTCCCGGGGCAGCATCTTATTCAGCTTCACAATTACGGGCTCACCTTTCGGTGCGATCTCCTAAACGTGCCTCTGAGCAATTGCGGTATCAAGATTAATTCTGAGAACCTCCCGCAGTTGAGATGCGGGGCCAAGCGGAAGCTCTAGTGAACATGCTGATGGCCGAAGCCAGAAAGTGTTGATGGCGCAAAACCTACACTATACTACACTGAATCTCAGGAATTACCAGAGTTTGACTGCTGCAAGGCTGCCTCCAGCGGCAGGAGCTCCTCAAACCCCTGAACATCCCTGCACCTACACCCAAACCCTGAGCTTAAGAGCATCAAGCACGAGGTCAGGTCTTCCTGGCAAGGGATGTGCAGACCGGCGAAGACCTTGCAGTGAAAGTGGAGTGGCTGGGATGCAGTAAGCAGCTACAAAGCTGCTGTGTTGGTGTAGGGATCTAGCTACGTGGTCTGGCCCTTAAGTCAAAGTCATGATGTTTGGAGGCGACGGATTTCATGAGCTCAGACTGTCAGACAGTCAAACATCACATTGATTCCAGAGGAGAGTGGTCTGACAACCGGCTCATAAATCCCACAATTGCAGTAAGCCTGTCATCATTTTAGGCTTGTGTAGATATCACCAAACAGCATGCGTGTTGCGACAAGCGTGCCCCTGGACGCATCATGGCATAGAGGCAGCTGTCGAGACGAGAGATGTAGCTGGATGCAGTAGCCAGTGTACAAAGGTCACAGATGTGAATTGAGCCTTCTTAATGCGTAATCAGAAACTGATTTGCTTGAGGCATCCGGTGGGTAAGCACTCATCATTGTCGTTTGAGGCTCGAATTTCAGGGTTAGCAAGCTGCAGTCTCAACTCCCCTTGGTCTGGATGCATCAGTAAGCTGTTCTATTTGCATCGACAATTATCCGATCAAACGATACAGCACAGCTACTGCATGTGGCTGCACTAGCTTCCCAGCAGCCTGGCTGGAGAATGTCTTGATGAGACCAGTGTTCTTTCCTGGCAGGCGCGTGTTCTGAAGCGCCTTTGTGCACCAGGCTTTCCAAGAGTTCACTCCTTAGGGAAGGAAGGCCGGGACAAGTTGCAAGTAGGTAATATTGGGGTTATATAGGGGTTATATTGGGATAATGGAAAATACAATGGAAACTACTACAGTATAATAGGGTATATATTGGGGTTATATTGGGGTTATATTGGAATAATGGCAAAGAAAATGGAAACTACTACAATGGAGAATCAAATGGAAAAGAAAATGGAAAATGAAATGGAAACTGGGATAGAGGTTTCTGGGTCCGTGCTAGCGTCCACATGATCGAAGGCAACATGCAGGGAACATCACGCTCCCTGCAGGTTGCTATCATCTCCTGGCAATGGAGTTGCTGGGACCCTCACTGGAGTCGATCTTTAACAAGTGTGGTCGGAAGTTTGGCCGCCTGGCTGCTGACAGCCGGGGTGGGGTCCGTAACTGACTGGAGTCTTTCGTCAGGCAAGGATGTGAACAGCTACTTTGGTTTAAAAGGATCTGCCCAGCTTCATTAAAGTTTGACGCTCAACAAGCCATTTCAAGTATGCAGTTGTATTTGAATAGTTAGAGCTGTTGAAATACAATGTTTGCATAAATTTCAGGGTGCTATTTGCATTACCGGTTCAGTTCTTGCTTTTGCTTGGTCGTCGGTGGGGGAACTAGCGGACCAGCACTCCTGAAAGAATTTGTCAGGCCTCAAGACTCTACTGATGCTGGCCGAGCAGATGGTTCGACGTCTTGAGTATGTTCACTCGAAGGCCAGCCGCTATGCTGCTATTTGACTGTTGCGAGGGCGAATCTGCTACAGCAAAGGTCCATCTTCAGTGTCGGAACTCCTGTAGAGGAGATATGAAGACTCAAATGCGAATTTTCCCTTGCAATAGCATGCTTGTGACTTAAGCGTGGGCAGAATGGCTGAACACGTGCATGGCCGCGTAGGGAAGTGCTGGGGCGTCATGGTTTCTTGTCTCGGCTGCTTTCACGGTAGCCTCATCGCGTGAGGGCTATGTACACCGTGACATCAAGCCAGAGAATTTCCTCATTGGCCGGGGGGAGCGGCGCAATGTCGCTTGGCGACAATGAGGACAGCTATGAGGAATCATGCAAGCTTGCTGAAGGCTTCTGCCCTCGATCCATTGTGTTTGGGAAGCGAAGCTGATGCAGTGAGGGTGAGGATTACTTACAGGATCAATTTGGGTGTCGAAATCGTTCTGCATGATCATTTGCAAGGCCCACTGCTACGACAATTTGCATGCCTGGAGTGCACATGCAGTCCCAGAGCCTCACGTTCATGTGGTAGTTTCCCATCATAGGGGATCCCAATGTAGTCCCCAAAATATTATACTCCTTATTATTGGGACCCCAAAAAGGTACACCTAAATTTGAGAAACCCTAATCCCTAAACCCTATATGCACCTAAATAACCTTATATTAACCCCATATAATCCCTATATAACCCCTATATAACCCCTATAATATAGGGGTTATATTATAACTGCTATATCCCCTTTAAAGGACCCATGTACATATATGGGTAGCTGCAGCACGCTCAGGTGGTTCATCTTATCGACTTCGGCCTCGCAAAGAGATTGGAGCCTGAGAGCCCCATCCAGCAAGCAGAACTTGAAAACGTGTCCAACAGGTATAGGATTTAGGGGTATAGTCCCCCTTTAGTAGGGTTATTATAGGGGTTATATAGGGGATTATAGGGTATATATTGGGGTTATATAGGGATTATAGGGTATATGTTGGGGTTATATTGGGATAATGGAAAATAAAAAGGAAATTACTACTTGGGGTTTAGGGTTATAGTCTCCCCTTAAGTAGATATTACCCCAATAATGGAGAATCAAATGGAAAAGAACATGGAACATGAAATTGAAACCGGGGAATACATAGGGGTTGTTGGGTTTTATAATCTCCCGTAAGTAGATAGAGTATGGCGTTGGGTATAGTAAAAATAAGATCCCCGTGTACCCCCGCATATTCTATCTACTTAAGGTGCCCTTCTTCGGCTAGACGCGAACATCCAGGCGTTCAAGTAGTTGGACACGGTGTTTTCCCAAAATTAGGGGGTACCTCTTTGGGGTCCCCAGAATAAGGACTATCATAGTATTTTTGGGTCTATACTGGTGTCCACCTATTTAGGGAGACTACCACATTTTTGATATGAGCCCTGGACTAAGTTTGTAGTATATTCCTGAATAGGTCCCCCCAAAACTCTATATGGTCCCCTATAGGTCCCCCCAGCCTAAATTCAGTCCGTAGCTCATATTACTTGGAAGGGTAAGCTGTGATGGTACCTGTACTGCTTGGGCTCAGGCCGAGGTTTGGGTCGCGCCGCAGCCTCATCGGCACGGCCCGTTATGCCTCCCAACTGGAAGAAAGGGGGTTCAGGGTTCAGGGTTTTGGGCAAGCTTCCAAAGATTGATGCATATTGATTCCATTGATGCCATGAAAACTGGATACTCAGCCAGCTAAGGCCTCGATCTGTGCTCATGAAGGCGTAGAGCAGGGTTGCAAAGACGACCTGGAGGCTCTGGCCTACGCGACTTGCTTCAGGAATTCCAGAATTGTTGCAAGCAGGGGAAGCCCAGCTTTTGTAGTTTCCATTTCATTTTCCATTATCCCAATATATCCCCAATATAAACCCTAATATAACTCCTAAATAGTCCATTATTGGGGTAATATCCCTATATACCCCTCTAAAGGGACCTAGGGTTTCCATTTCAGTCCTCTCCCAGCTGAGGTTCTCATTTACTTTGCCTTGGGGGAATTGCCCTGGCAGGGTTTGCAGGCTGAGTCGAAGGACCTCAGCTTTGTTTCAAGTCTGTGTATGCCTATGTCATCAGCAGTTGGGCTTCGGGTGGATTCAGGAGGAGAAGCATGAGAAGATTATGGAGCTCAAGCGCCAGCTTCCTGCGGAGGACCATGTCATCTATAGGGCTAATATAGCTTCAGGCCTGCATTCATAGTGCTGATTGATTCTTAAAACCCATGGCACCCGGAGGAGCTTTGCAAAGGTTGCCACGATATCTTCGCGCGCTTCCTCCAATATGCACAGGGTCTCAAGTTCCAGGACACGTATCGTGCCATGCCTCGTGCATGTATTGTATGCCTCTTGACGAAAGCAGCCTGCCCACGCACTGTTTGTAAGGCAGGTGAGACTTCTATGACACTCAAACTCTGTTTGTAGCATGTTGTGCTATGCCCTCTGCCGTTTCCGGTGTCTGGACTTGCTGTCGCTTCAGCTGCTGGTACGATTTCAAAGTTCAAAGCGCCATGCCAGGAGAGGCCCGACTACAACTTTGTCTACTCACTCTTTTCAGAAGCCATGATTACAGAGGGTTACCAAAACGACGCCCAGTTTGATTGGCTTGCGTTGCCAGAAAAGTCACTCGGCTGCAAGTCAATTGGCTGCTGTTTCCAATGGATGCTCACCAAGATCTCCAAAGCCACTAAAACGGATCTCTAAGTTTTCGTGTCAGAGTCCAATTGTTGCCAAACAGCTTCTGACTGTGAGTTTTGTCCTGGTGAAGAAGAGCAGGTACGGCAGCTAGCACCACGCTTTCTATTCTTGAGCATGAGCACTCGCTTGTCAGCTGGTGCTGCCGGTGCCTCCAAGGAATGTGAGCTACTCCAAGCAAGATCCGCCTCAGAAAGGCCTGGTGTTGGGAGTTCAGACATGCAGATCGAGACGAGCATAATTTTGAAAACCAAAGGTCACATACTCAAGGATCTGCAGTTCTCAGCTGTACCGCCAAGCTTTCTCGAGAAGTATCTAATCTTTTTATGGCATGGGATCTTCCACAAGGCTCGGGCACATCCAGCATAGCATGCAATGACCCACAAAGGCCGTTCCAAAAGTCGGCGCAAGAGCGACGAGAAAGGGCGGGCACATAGCCGCCACGCTGCAAACAGTCTACAGCTTCTGCGGGGGTTGGGATATTGTTGTCCAAGCCCGCGCTTGGCTGTCGACCAAATGTTTGTTGACTTTGGCATGACCATGCCTGTGCAGGGTGTCCCCAACTAGTGTAACATAGTGTAACTAGTGTGTCGTGTGTCCTCGCCTCGGAGGCCAAATGAAACGGCAAGTCACGCCCGGTCAGTCAGTGCCATCCTCAGTTCGCGAGGCGATAAGAAACCTGCTAGGTGTGAGAGCAGTATACTCGTCTTGGCAAATCTTCTGCTGTGCACTGCAGGCGAAGACACTCTGTACTTCAACGAAAGCCTCGTCAAGGGAGCGTGAGACTGTCAAGCCAGGTTTTTTACCATCTCTCTTTGGATGTTTCTCAGCTCCAAAGCAAGGATGAGTGGAGCAGCCATGGCCAGTTGCGCGCGAACTTAACAGTAGTTGCTATTACACTTGCCAGCCATAGAAAAGGTTCGGAGGTGCAACTTGAGCCTATTGCTGCCCCACTGGAGGATGCTTTAGGCAAAAGCATCGACGACCAATGCATCATTTGCAATGCGAGGCATGCAGGTTCAGCTGCAGGGGCAAGTAGGCTAAGAGCCGTTTTTTGGATTTACATCGTCTGTGCCTCTTGTTGCTGAATTCTGTTCGCATACCTCGAATTCACCTCTCAGCACAGCGCAAGCCGGCGCATTTGCTGGTCGCCACGCGACATCCGGTGGCTTGTACTCCGCTATGGTCGCATGCTGAGTCACTGAGCCATGCTTAGCTTTGTTTGTAGAACCTGCCTTGAGAAGTAGAGGCAGCAGCAGCAGCAGCAGGAGTAGTAGTAGTAGTAGTAGCAGCAGTAGTAGTAGTAGTAGTAATAGTAGCAGTAGCAGCAGCAGCAGTAGCAGTAGCAGTAGCAGTAGCAGCAGTAGCAGTAGCAGCAGCAGCAGCAGCAGCAGTAGCAGTAGCAGTATTATTACTATTATTATTAGTAGTAGTCGTAGTCGTAGTAGTAGTAGTAGTAGTAGTAGTGGTGGTGGACGTCGACGTCGTTGTCTAGTAGTACATGTAGATAAAGACACTTATGCAATCTGTAGGCTACACAGATAGTCAGCTCTAGTTCGCTTGCCAGGTGCAGGTTTTCGAATCACATGGAAACATTAAACATTCCATGTAAAGTGGCGTTACGCAGGGTGTGAGGTCTTACTTACAGCCTGAGCTATGCGCAATTGTTTCCAGCCTGGCGGAGTACGCACGGCATTTGAAACCCAACGTGGTTGGCGGAGAGCCAGCACGGTGCCGAAATTTAGAGCATGGATGATTTTCCCTCCTTCAATTGATGCTGTGATTGCATGACGGTCAAAGAGGTTGTGTTGTCGAATGTTTGCGAGATACATGTTTCAGGATGACATCAGCTAGCTGTTTCTACAAAAGGTTTGTGGAAGTGCCATTCAGGCTTGGCCACGGACGCGTCCCTGGCAGTCCAGACAAGGACGTAACTAATCTCTGAAGACTTCATGGGTTTGGGACATGACCAGACCGAAGTGACGATGGCAGCATCATTCCAGTTCAGATGTGTAGCACGAAGTCTATGCGGATTTTTCCTCATTGGCATGAGCTGCATTGGTGGGAAGCGTTCAGCAGACCCAGTCGGATTTGGGAGATTGATTTTCCAAATTTATTGCCGCCGCAGCTCTGGTTTGCTAAGGGCAGTTTCGGCCCTCTGACCTGCTTAGGAGCAGCTGCTTAGTGTGGATCTTCTATACATTCTAATAAAGCTCAAGACTCAGACTTTGGATGCATGGCCGGTGAAACTCCAGTCTACCAACATAAGCTGCTGGAGGCAATTTCAGGTGCATGGAGACTTCACAGCTACTATAGACTATAGAAGATCTGCAATGATGCTTTGGATCCACTCCGGACATTCTCCAAGAGTGGCCAGCTTTTCATTCTGCGCCTGTCAGGTCCGCGAGGTAATTCTAGAATTCCCCCTGAATGTTTTTCAGAGATGCGGATGGGCGTCTCTTTTTCCGCGCGGTAGCTGCAAGTTTCGAGGTCTCGTTGAACGTTCCTTGAGCCGAAGACATTTGAGCTTGCATGCGCCACGTGTAGGGTGAAGTCCACGGTGAGAGACACGAGGCTCTCGTGCGGCCATACAGTACAGGCGCACTCCACATCCGGAGAGCTGCAGCACCCGCCACCAGAGTTCAGAGAGATTGCTATCCCTGATCGCTTAGCTGGGACCCCTCCTCTCTTGGATTCTTTGGTGAACTCGACTCCTTCCCGACAAGATGCCCCGAAAGCCGCTTTGCGCTGGCGGCTTTTCGTTGTTGTGCGGAGTGTTGGAAACTCCGCCAATCCTGCCTGTGTAGAGTTGGAACTGACTGAATTTGAAGAAGTCCTGACCAACTCGTGTACACGTACAGCCTGCACCTTATGAGCACGGCAGAGGCCTTCAGGTGCAGATGTGCCTTGCCTTGCAGCCAGACCCTAAAACGAGGTACAAAAGTCGGCGCCCGCTTTGGTGTTCAGAAACTTAGCGCATACGGTAGCCAGGGAAGAAGTGACCTGCTAGAGCAGCTGGTGCTCTGCGCTGATGAAACATGCCAGCTGGCAAGCCATTTTTTTTTAATGGTATGGCATGGTATGAATATTTGTACATACGAGTAGGCTTGGCTATCTACAGAGAGGCCATAGCAGCGTCAGCCATCCTGCATGGAGAGCTAGAGCATTTCACTACAGGCCCTCATACGCCTAAGTTCATCTCGAAAGTCTATGCCACTGAGTGCTTTGAGGAAGCAAGGCACTTTATGTAGGCAGGGTGGGGTTTCAGTCAACTGTTCCGTCCTTGTGAATCACGTCTGCAAAGCCAGTACGGAGCTGCAGCCAAATCCTGGTGCGCGCGCTTGACCCGATCACGTTAGACGTCATTCTCGCATCCCCTACGCAAGGGTATTCTGCACAAGGGTGGAAGCCAGACCTGTCGACTACCATCCTGGCACAGCCTTTGGAGGTGGACAGAGCTATATCGACACGTGATTGGCGTGGTGCATACGAACTACCAGGATGGGTAAGCAATAGGGGCTGCGATGAGTAACGGGATCATGGTGGAAAGCAGTCAAGAAGCTTTTTGTTGTTGGAAGAAATCCTGCGTCACCCTTGATATGATGGGCGCTACAGCTGCAGTGTGCTTGTTCAGCCTACAGGCCTATCTGGAGAAAATGGAGTACGAAGGACTTATGAGCAGCGCGAGGCTCAGCTTCCACCACGGTACTGAAAGTCATGGGCCGCACAACTCGAGAAAGTGCAGGAGCTTCCGAAATTTAACGGGGCAGGAGAGCTTTACTCAAGGCAGTTTGAGCCTGGCATCAACTAAAGGTGCTACCATCCGAGACAGCTTGTTCTCGACTTTCACGACAATGGCTGGGAGCTCTGTATTAGTCTTTTTATGTTGGGTGGCGTGCAGACTTGGGAGATGCATTTGCAGTCGCAGCATGGCTCCAGGTGTGCAGCGCCTACTGCGATGTGACCATTAAACTGTCGTCGGCAGGCATCTCTCTCCCAAATGAGGCACGCCCTGCGCTGGGTCTCTCTCTCTCTCTCTCTCTCTCTCTCGCTCCCTGTGTGCTCTCGCTCACGCCTTCTCCCTGTATGTGCTTTTTCTGTGTGTTAAGACTCTCGCCTTGCGCCGTGCTTACTCCTAAGAATGCAGACGAAGTGCTGTATCGGCAACATGGTGAGTGGTCAACCTCAACGGAAGTGGATGGAAGGAGGGCCAACAGACTTTCTGTGACTTGGTCAGATGTGGCCAGCAAGCTCGTCAGATGCCTGCCTCTAAGTACATCATGACGTCATCATGTCACGTTGCAATTATAGCTAGCAGACTGTCTGTAACCTTGTCAACTTGCCAAGGTATGTAACGCGTTGTGGCCATTGTTTGTCATTGTACCTACCGCATCATGGGCAGGTGAAGTACAATGTACATGGTGTGGCGAGCTTAGTTCGTGCGACCTCTGCACGGAGCCCAAAGCATTTTCGTCCCTACCGTTCAAGCCGTGGGCCAGTAGATCGAAGTTCGTCCAGCCCATGCTTAGAGACCAAGGGTGGAGCGCATATCTTTAAGTAGACTACGGGTGAGGGATTGCAGCTCATACAAGTCTCCTCGACAACCATGAAAACTTGTCCAGCTGGGCTCTCGTTTCGCTTCCAAATGACATGCAACCCAATCTGCATGGATGTGATGTGAATCGGAATCAAGGTTGCAATTGGACTAGACAGGAAGAACTTGCATGGAACTTGCGCCTGAACTCTGTCAGCAAGTTCATATCCTTTCCCGCTTGGTTTCCTGCCATGCAAGGTGCGCAAAGAGTTTTTTGAAGGCGCTCGTCGTGCCCCACGCTCAGAGCTCACATGTAAGAAAGGTGCATTCAGCTGAGGGATCCGTAGGCGATTCGCAGCGCAGCAGATTTCGAGCTCTGCTTCACTGAGGCCGACGTCAAGCGACCGAGGCTGCGTTTGAAGTCAGCCGAGAAGAATCCAGCACGGAAGCCCGGCATTTGTTAGGGCTGGTATGGGCTGGTTCTGTGTGACCGCTTCAGGTGTTTTCTAGACTGCGTAGCACAAGCAAAGTGTCAAGCAGAAGCAGGATTGGTAAAGCACCACTTTCTCCATTTTGGCTGGTCGTCATGCATTGCTGCAGGTGTACTTCATCGGCAAGGCCGTGAAGCCAAAGGGATGGGCCAGGCTCCCGGCAGCCTGGGTGAAAAATGCCAGCAACCGTAGCAGCAACCTTTCATCCATTCTGGAACTTGAAGTGGCGGCCAAAGGTCCGACTCATCAAGCTCCTGAGGAAATTGCCGAGCGGAGAGGCCAGGGACGCACGGTGAGCGTCAGATTGGATGCTGCAAAAGAGGGAAAGCGGAAGCTTACAGCAATCCATGATGCCTGACCTTGCCTCAACCCCAAGCCTTCAAACCTGAAGCCTAAACCCCAGAAACAATCACAGTAATAATTGATATTTTTGCAGTAATAACAGTAAGAACACCAAGAATAGTAATAATAGACATGAGAGTCATAATAGTAATAATAGTAATAATCGTAATAACAGTAATAATAGTAGCAATAGCAATAGCAATAGTAGGAAAAACAGTACTGACAGTAATCACAGTAATAAAACAGTCATAACAGCAGTAGCACGAATAACCCCTATATAACCCCAGTATCCATTTCATTGTTCTTTCTTTTTTGTTCATTTGATTTTCCATTATTGGGGCCCTAAACCTTAACCTTTTTTTGCTTGTAGGACTGGGACTTCTCAGTCGACAGCTTTGGGTCCGGTGCTGATGCGGAGGCCCGTAGAAACGGTTTAGGATTTGGGGTTTTAGGGTTTTAGGGTTTTAGGGTTTTAGGGTT